AGAATAAATGCCTAGGTCTTCTCCAGAAATAAATGCATAAATGAAGCGAATTTGGCGTTAGTTTTCATTATAGGAAATGGTATAGGGAATGTGTAACATAGGCCAGATGTAATATGGAATGTGTCAATTTTAATTAAATCATTATTATATTTTAATTTAAACTTGAAGGGAATATGGAATTAAGATTCAATTTATACGATTAAAATCAATCTAAATTTAGTTATAAAAAAATCTATCCAAAATTTTAAATTGTTATCTATAATTTAAAATTAACTTTTTTATTGCGTTCACATCTATTTGATAAAGATAGCCTAATTTTTTATTTTCCTTTTTTCTTGAAGCAGAGATTAGAGGTTTAAGTTTAGGTAGTTAGCCTTTGTTGGAATGGAAAGAAAATGAGGGAAAAAAGAAAACCAGAGAGGAAAATAAGGAGAGGAATTAGTTTTTCTTTATTTGGATGAAAAGAGAAAAGTGAGTGGAAAGAAAAATAGGAGAGAAAATAGAGCGTGGGACCCACATCATTTTCTCTCTAATTTTTTTCTCCAATGTGAAAAGAAAATAAGAAGAAAACTCACATTTCTCATATACTCTCCCTCATATTATGTGAATAAATGCATATTTGCCTTTAGTGCAATTTTTATTGATATTTTATAATTTAACAATATTATCTCACTGCAGCCAAATTTCAAACCAACATATAAACTCTATTTTTTAACATTCAATGTAATACTCAAACTTCGTACTATCTATACACACACATATATATCTCCATCTCTTTCAATTTTTATGATAAATTTTTATTATTTAATAATAATTTTAAATAATATATATTTTATTTATTTTCTTTTATTATATTTAATTTTAAAAAATTATCCCCATTTTATTTTTCTATTAAAAGGAACATTTTTATTAAAATATTTTATTTTTAAATATAATAATATGATAATATATTTTTTAATTAATTTTATTTTAAATTATTTAATAATATTAATGTTCATATAATTTTTTTATTGTGATATTTAATTTGGTTTTAAACATAACATATTTTGAGATAAGGATATTTTAGTCATTTATATATTTTCTCATTTTCTTTCCTCTCTATTTTCTCTTATTCATCCAAACAAAATGGATAGTGATATTTTTCTTCAGTTTTCTCTTTTCTCTATTTTTGCTCTTGTTATTTTCTTTCTTCCCAACTTTTCTTTCTATCTAAACGGAGCATTAGTGCTAATCAAGATCCCGGAGCCATTATGGTAACCCTTCATCAAATTATTTATAGATTGCAAAATCATGATTATATTTTAATTTAAACTTGAAGGGAATATAGAATGTAAAATTCAATTTATAAGATTAAAATCTAATCTAAATTTAGTTATAAAAAAATCTATCCAAATTTTTAAATTATTATCTATAATTTAAAGTTAACGTTTTTATTGCGTTCACATCTATTGAAGAAAAACTTCAATCAATATTTTTTCACTCACCAGGAGAGAGGCCGGTTTTCTTTTTCTTTTTTTTCAGTTGGTTTTTGTGGACAGTAGCTATATGATTTTATTCAATCAATTATGAGTTTTCTTGGCAAAAAATAATTTTTTTTTAAATTTAACGTTCAAAATATTTTTTTCTTACATTCTATACCTTTCAACATGAAAGAGATATTCGACAACGAAATATTTGAAGTTTATCTTTTAAATGATCAAGGTTCCAGATTTTCATATGATATCTTCCAGCTTATTCTTTGAGCACATGTAAAATAAAGTTAACAATGATGTCTTCCTCGCCTCAATATGTACGCACTTAAATGAAGCGTGCATGTACCGAATAAGTCAATTCAGTACCTAACTTTTTGTCAATATATGTGTAGGTAACAAATAAAATGTGCGTATATGATTTTTAATAATTGATTTAAAACTTGAACAAGTCAAATTGGGTGCCTAACTTTTGTCATTATATATGTACAGACATTAATTAAATCCATTATTTTATTGGTAAAAAAATCCCACCATTTTATTAAGGGCGGCTAGTGGAGTGCCACAGAGATATTGGGGAAAAATCGACAATCACATTTTTAGAACCAAATAGAGTTTAAAACACTATCTTATGATTACAACCAAAGGGAGTGTGTGTCGTTAGACAATTATTGCAGGAGTTCTGTGCGGGTGTATAAAAGAGAGACTTTTTTTTTTTTTGGTTATATGGAGTATGAATTGCTATAAATTAATTTTTTTTATTGACATATTAAGTGTTGTTCACACTGCAAGCGCGTGACAAATAATAGAGAGATGGGAAAAATATTGTTGCCACCATTATTTGGTTTTACAACTTAGTTAAGTATTGATATCACACTTTTACCTAATTTGAATGACCCGAATGTTAATAGTAAAAGGAAAATATTTTTAAAATTAGAAATTAATAAAAAGAAAAAGTGATTCTTCAATTATGAGGATTCAAAGGGACCTAAAATTGTTTGTCTCCCTTATATTTTAAAAGTACTCAACCAAACCCCTTATTATACTTGCTTCTTGATTATAGAATATGCTAACTAAGAACACTAAATTACCTATAAGTGCTCTCTCAAGTCTACAAATAGGTATTTAGTTCAGTAATTGATTAATTAATCTCTTGATTAATTAACTCCAATTTTTATTACAAATCTTACATGCTTGCGTGAGGTTGATGAGTGTATCTCTATCTTATTAACAAAACCATTCATTTAACTTACAAATTTCAAGTTCTAACATGATTAAATTCAAATTCTGCACTCAACTTAACTCTCTGAAGCATCAATCAAGTGAACCCAACAATTTTATTGGTGGCCAATCAACAAAAAGCACTAAACATAGAGTAAAATCAATATAATTCTATCATTAATCACAAATATAAAAGGAAATGAGTACTTAATCCATATAAGATCGAGTTTAAAACTTATCATAAAGAAATGTATTTAGCCACATATGCTCAAAAAATTCGTGAGAATATATATATCCGCATTGGCGCAATCATGAAACAAGAGTAGAGAAAGCAAGATGGACAGGAAAACCAATAAAAAGGCCCAAATCTCTTCAAAGCTTCCACTCCCAATTCAATCTCCTCCAACAAGCAAGCACTAGCATAGCAAAATACTCCCAAAAATCACCCAGAAGTGAAGAACGAAGGCCAATGTCGAGTTTGGGGCCTTAAAACCAAGAATTTTCTAATTTAGTGTTGCGCATTTTGCTGTCCGCGGCTGCCCGCAGCTTAAAAATTTTGCACTACAGCTGAATTTGTCTCGGTTTGAGTTAGGTCTCAAGTAGGCCAGAATATGCCACAACTCATTTTGCTAATGGACAATTTTGTTCTTCATGCTCAAATAAGGAGTTCCATATATGATGTGGCCTCTATTTGTTCTTCTTTGATCACTATAATGTAATTCTAGAGCAAACTTTGTCTTCAAATGCTTCCAAAGGCTTCCTATGTGAGTATGTGGTTTGAAATAATTACTCTTATACTAATACATAGCTTGCAAAAGTGACAAACTTTATAACCTCAAAAATAACAAGAATAAAAGCCAAAATACACACAAATACATCTAAGAGTGCATAAAAATCAAGGAAAAAAAAAATGCTGAAATGACATAAAATTCTAGCAATTAACAAGCATGAAGATGTAAATTTGCCTCAAAAGTTTAAAATCGTAGTAATTTGGGCTTCCTATTGTTAAAAAATTAACATTAATAATAATATTAACAATTAACATTTTTAATGGTGCGGGCAAAATTTCTATAATTTTAAATTTGAGGCAAATTTGCGCCCAAAAAACTTCCAGGTATATCTAGTACTCTTGAGTGATAACTTTTAGGACAAATTTATATCTTAACTTACATATTAATGTTGATATTAATTCATAGATGTGCTTGCTTTAATAAAACTCTAATTTAATTTTGACTAAAATATATATTTAGTCCTTTATGTTCACAACAAGTTTTATTTTAGTCCTTTAAATATATAAAATACATTTTTAATCCTTCAATCTTAACACCATTGGTTCCATCTAAGAAAAAAATGTTGACTCATGTAATTAAATAATGACCAAGTATAATTTTTTTCATTTTAATTTTTTTAATTTACACAACTTAAAATATAAACATATTATATTAAAATGTAAGCATGCTTTCTTAGCGTTTAATTGCGCAATCGTCATTAAATTTGATGAGTCAACATTTTTCATCAGATAAAACTAACGTTGTTAAGCTTAAAGGAACAAAAATGCACTTTATAAATTTAAGGAACTAAATTAATAAAACCTGATGAAGACATAAATGACCAAACATATATTTTAGACTTTGATTTTCTTTAAAAAAAAAGTAGTATTCTTTTAATGATTATGGAAATTATTAAACCTAATTTATATGCACAAAAAATTATATGAACATGCACTCTATTGAATTGATTTTTTCTCCTTACTAGCATTTCATTGACTCCAGATTCTATATATACGAGACATACCAAGGCAAAGATGCATAGGAGGTCATCATTTGATTACCTTATCTGATTACTCAATGACTTCTCTGATCTCAAAATCTCTCTTTCTTGTCTTCCTCTTCTTTTCCATCATATGCCTCTCCTTCGGTATCCCTAGTGAGCATCCCATTCTCAGTGATGGTGATGACGACTTGGACAAGTTCACTTCAGAGGAAGACATTCGTGAGCTATTCCGAATGTGGCAGAAGAAGTATGACCGAGAATACAAATCAAGAGCAGCTCAGGAATACAGGTTTGAGATTTTCAAAAGCAATTTGGAGTATATCAGAGAGAAGAATTGCAACACAACATCGGGCTACAGGTTGGGTTTGAATCAGTTCTCAGACATGACTTTCGACGAATTCAGTAAGACCTACCTAGGTGAAATGGAAGACAACATCCTTGAGAAGACAGAATCCGAGGACAATGATCTCTGTCCAGGTGCACCTTCTTCCTTGGATTGGAGGGACTTTGGAGCTGTAACTAACGTTAAAAGCCAAGGCTCGTGTGGTAAGTCTTTCTTTTTTCTGAAGAATATGTTTTCCTTTAAAAATACTTCATGAAGGGAAAAGAGAGAGAGAAACAAAATAACGAACTCCATTTATACACATAAGCCCATATAAGTGATGAAGCTCACTATTCCGCAGGTAGGAATTGGATAACTGATTTACATAGAACGAAAAAATCTGTATTGATTCTTTTAAGATACCCCATTTAATCGTTTTGGATCGAAAACTACCCTCGTATGAATATTCACATTTAGATGTGAGATTGTGTGAATTTTGAAGGTTTAGCTTTGAAATTTTTCAATTGAATTTATACTAAGAACTATAGCAACTAATTTGTAAATTCATGCTCGTAGGAAGCTGTTGGGCATTCTCTACTACTGGAGCCATTGAAGGAATATATAAACTTGCTACAGGTAATCTTGTCAGCGTCTCTGAACAACAACTTTTGTCCTGTGAGCCATATAACTTAGGCTGCGAACAAGGAGGTTGGTACACTAGAGGATTTGAATATGTCATAAAAAATGGAGGTATTGCCTCAGAAGAAGATTATCCATATATAGCTCAAAATGGTATCTGTGATCACCAAAAGGTCAGTGTTTGTCCTCCGCCTCCTACAAAATCTTTACTTGTACGGATTACATCTTCTTCTCCTTATTATTCTTCTGGTTTTGCTTCTTGTTCCCTTTTCTTATGAAACAGGAAAAATTGATAGCTGCTACCATTGATGGCTACGTAAATAAGAAGTACAAATCAGAACGTGCTCTATTTTGTGCCGCTGCTCAGCAGCCAGTTAGTTTTTCTATGTATGTTTCTAATGATTTCAAGCAGTACAAGCAAGTAAGTCATCTATCACACATGAAGTTATATAAGCATGTTTCAGTTAACAGGAGTAAGGAATTTTTTGAATTATTCCTAGTTGATGCAAGTTAAATAAAGTTAATTTTGTGAGTTAATGGTCATCATTAGGAATGAATGGGCAAGATACAGAGTGACAATTTTTATTTTTTATTTTATATATAGTTAAAATCACAATTATTATTTAAGAAAAAATTAATCTTTTGATCCCTATAGTCTTAACTTAGTTGTAACTTAGTCCCTAAACTTTGATCTCGTATGCAACTAGTTCTTATAGTTTTAACTTGATTATAACCCAATACCTAAATTTTAACTTGATACAACTCAGTCTTTACAATGTTAACTAACTAAAATATTGATCCTTATATTTTATAAAACTTACAATTAAAGTTTTAAATGATTAAAACTATAAAGATTGAGTTGCAGTGAGTTAAAAATCTAAAAACTAACAACTTTCAAATGAAAGAAAATAAGAGTTGATTTATATTGAAGCAAAATTTAAGGCTGAGTTACGACTCATTCAAAACTATAAAACCAAAGGATTTATTTTCCCACTTTACAGATAAAAGAAACTTTTATGTTCAGTATTTTATTATTTTCATATAATAAATAAAACATATAATAAAATAAAACACAATTTATACAACTCAAATATAGTCAAAATCTTAAAATTTAAATTAGTTTTTTCTTATGTTCACATCTGATATGAATGGCATAAATTTTAAAATTTGTATTCATTTAATTTTGAATAAATTTAAAATCGAGATTCAATAGTTTTCTTTTTCCTACACTCTACATCTTTCAACATGAAAAATTCTTAACTAACTAAAATATCAACTATTCCAATAAAAATAAAGATAATCTTCTAATGGCATAAGCCTTTGAACCTTGACCACAATGATTCAGTTATCAACACCTCACCATGGAGACCAACTTTTCTAGTTTGCTTCCATATTTGAGATGACCAAAGATCCACTTTATATCTTCCTATTTCTTCATTGAAATTACAGTTGCTTTCTTTGAACATGGGTAGGGAATCTTTGATGGTAGCAGCTGCATCGACATAGCACCATGCACAACCAATCATGCTATGTTGCTCGTGGGATATGGTTCGGATTCTGATTCCAATGAAGATTATTGGATTGTTAAGAACTCGTGGGGAACCTCATGGGGACAAGATGGCTACATCTTCGTCAAAAGAAACACTAATGTCACTGAGGGAGTATGTAACTCAAATTGCTATGGTGCTTACCCAACCAAAAACTTTGCGTCACTACTTGAATCTGCCATATGAAGCTTAGCGCTAGAAGCAATACTAAATAAATAGATAAATAAAGCCAGGCTTCATGCCTAGCTAGTTATGTGTGTCTTTGACATATGAGTAAATGGCATATTTGCCCTTGGATGGAGCTTAGTAAACTCTATTATGTAAGCTTTGAGAATAAATGCTATATTTGTAATGGAGACTTGCTTCAAAACTTTTGTGTTATTTCTAATACAAAAAGTTTTATAAATTAATAAACTCTGCCAAAATGTTTGGCTTTTTTTCTTTTATGAATTCATAGTCCTCACAACACTCATGTTCACCCTTTAGAATGAACAATATCTAGACGCATCATTACCAATTATTATCTAACCCAACGATAAAATATTATTCTGCGGATAATGAACGAATATATGGGTATTTATATAGGAAAATTTAGAGAGGAAGACCTGAACTAATATTTATTGAAAATGACGTGAAAAAATGGTGATTATTTAGAAGGATTTTAAATGAAGCAGTCTTGAGCTTCCACTAGCATTTCACTACAGTTTTGAAAAAACTTGCGTCCTCCACTATTGTCATGGATCTGGTCTGTCTTACTACTGCTGCAAAGAAATAGCATATTTCTGGCGCATAAATAGCTTTTTGTTATTACTAGATCTAAAACATGCAGTTTTGATTGGATAATCCATATATGTTTCGAGATTTCTTATTCTTTATTTCTTAATCATTATAAAAAAAGTATTTTTGATTAAATGATTATGTTTATTTCATTTAATATATTTTCAAATTAAATATAAGATATAATCTATATAATTCATATTAAATCCAGATATGGTCCACATCTACCATTGGAAGAATAGTAACAAGGTAATTCAGTTATCTATAGAGGACGTCCTCAAAGTTCAATTTAATTACAGTAAATCTCAAAAAACTGTGTTATCGAATAAGTTGCAGGTTGTAAATATCAATTCAAATAGTTGTAAATATTGATTTAAATAATATAATGACATGTTTCAATAACATACCCTCTTCATCCTCTCCACTCGTCTCTTACCTCTAGCCTCCCAATGGATTGCTACTCGCCTTCCTTGTAGATTGATGACGAATTTTAGAAGCTCTTCATTTTCATCAATCCTCCTAGGTTCGCTCCTATTCATTAAGATTTATGAGATGATGTAAATTGAATGTTAATAAATACAAAGGGATGAATAATTCTAAATCCCATTTTATCTTTGAAGTGCAAAAATAATTTTTTTATTAATTTTTAATTTTAAAAATAGGTTCTTTCACCTCTTGATACTTGTATTGCTCAAATCAATAGCTATCTTCCAAAAATGGACCAGGTAAATAAAAGGAAACGAGAGAGAATATTGAATAAATACTTATAAGACAGTTATATCAATCGTAATGCTAAGATCTTGTGGATTGCCACTTTTTTCAAAGAACAGAAATTTTGTTGACATTTTCGTTCCTCTAGGCTTCTCTTGAATTCTGGACACTTATGCAAAGATACCATGTTAATCACTTGAATTATTATTGAGGAAACAATGTGATGCAGATTTTAATTTAACTAATTAATTATTTTTATTATTGTTTATTTTAGATCGTGGGTAGTTACTCCATTCACCCCACTTCCCCACTTCCCTCATTTTATTTCTTTTATTTATTTTATTTATTTCTTTTATTTATAGTTTAGGGTTTCAGTTTGTGATCAGACTTGGCATTTAGAATTTATCGATCAGTTTTTCTCCCGTTCTTCTCCCTGCTTCTCTGCTTCTCCTCTCTTCTTCTTCCTCTTCCCTAACTTCTCATCCCTTCCAATCCTTTCTTGTTTTACATCAATTTTGGTATCAGAGCCTGGTTTCCCTTGTACCTTTTGATTTTTGAAACACCCAAACACACCCTTAGTCAAAACAACCCACAGCCGCCGCTCTTTCACCATTGTTCGCTCATTTTCCGATGATCGTTCACCGTGCCGCCACTTCCATTCTCACCGTAGGCAACAATCCGTCCAGATCTCAAAGTTTCACAACCAGAAACCACCAGAAACAGCCTCCACGAGCCAGCGTCACCGTCAGCGTCACTTTGAAGGCCCAGATCTCACTCGTCTGACCTCCGTTTGCCACGAAACCACCGCCAACGCCTTCCTCTAGAGGAACACAGCCAGAAAATTGAGTTTCACGGTCAACGGAGATTCCACGCGCCTACACGCTCCGGAAGAATCTCTGCGCGTAATATCCACGCGCCACCGTGTCTCTGCAGCTCCAGATTCAGTTTTAGCGAAAATTACACATTCTGGCCCATAATTTCCAGAAAATTTCGGATTCACCCCAGATTTCGAAATTTTACTGTCTGACCCTATTCGTTGGAGGAAATTACACTTCTGGACCCGGATTTTGTCAAAATTTTCACTTCGGCCACAAAATCATTTAGACACTTTGGGGTAATTTTTCTGGTCTCTTTAAATGCGTTGGTAAGGCGCAATTGACCCTCTCTTTAACTTACTGTGACTAGTTTGACATACTGGAGGTTACTAGTTTGCTTTTGTCATTTTATTGATTATTGTCTACCGTAGATATTATATTTTATTAGCATTTTCATTTGTTTAAAAAAAAAAAGAAAAAAAAGAGGAAAAAAAAGCAAAAAAGAAAAAAAAAGAAAAAAAAAGGAGGAAGAATTTATTTTCATTTTATTAGTAGCTCTTTACTTGCTTCATTATTTGTTATTAGCTTTCATCTACCTACTGCATGACTATTCGTGATATTGAAAATAGACAAGATACCTTAGACCAAGCACTTCAATCTTTAGAACCTCGTGTTAGCTCCCTTCAATCCCAAATAGACCAGAGACTTCAGACCTTTGAACTAAAACTGAATGAACTTACCAAATGCCTTAAGGAATCTTTGGCCGAGATTAAGCAAGAATATAACTCCCAGTGTCAGGAGCTTAGAGCCACTACTCAGGAGCTTAAGGTATCTAATCAAGAGCTTAGGACCTCCTAGCAAGAACTTAGAGATTCTCTCCTAAGAATTGATAGGCATGTCTTTAGTAAAGGTGCAGAAGGGATTCTTGGAAATGTACCTGAGACCAATCAAGCGCACCTTAAGTTCGACACCATTGGACCATCTCACACTAGGGGCTCCCAACTGTCTATAGGGCTACGTAACCCGCAGGCTAAACCGCTACACGTTGAGACCCTTCCCCCACAGTTCGAGGAAGAGGACAACCCATGGGATAAGCAAGGGACAGAGGCTCACTACGAATCCCATGTTGTGAACTGACGAACCTATGGAGGATACGCCGCGCGCCCTAGGTATAGACGAGACCTGTCGCCGCCCAAACGATACCGAGACACCCCTCGGCAAGACTACAATGATGATGCGACGAAGAGGGTTAAAGTTGAGGCACCTGACTTTGATGGTCGTTTAGATGCGAATGCCTTCCTCGATTGGTTAGCCACCATGGACGACTACTTCGAGTGGTACAATATGAGTGACATACAACGCATTCGTTTTACCAAGATGAAGCTCGTAGGATCCGCAAGGAAGTATTGGCAGTACGTCCAAACGAACCTTGAACGCTTAGGGCAACTGATTAAACCCAACTCTTTATTGTCTTTTCATATCATTTTAAGGGTTTTTATCATAATTAGTAGCTCTTTTAGTGTTTATTGTGCTTAAATTATATTAAAGTGCCTTACCTTGAATTAGTGCATAATAGGGGCAAAATTGTCATAATTGGAGATTAATTATTATTAATTGATTTCTAGGATAATTGATGCTATATTATGTATGATTTTCCTTGTAGGTACTTTGGGAGAAATTTGGGCAAATTTGGAAATCACACTTTAGTCCCAACATTAAAGGTAGTAAAAGACCGGATTAATCGCAGAAAAGGCCCCAGAATTCAAGAAATTACACCAGAGGCCCTGAGTAAATGAAGCTTTGCGTTTTGGCTAAAGGTACCATCCGCCGTGGCGGATGGACAAATCCGCCGCGGCGGATTTGTCAGAATTGCAAAAGTCGCGATTTCAGCATTCTAATTCGGATCCCTAAGCTTCAACCCGACCCCAAACCACCTCTAGTAACCAGTATAAGCTGAGTTTCAACCTAGGGAAGCCTCATTCGGTCTCTCCTCACCTCTCTTTGGCTGAATCATCCTCTCATCTCCTCATTCCACCAATTCTTCATTACATTCCATCATATTTCCCTTTAATCCATCCATAACCTCTTCTTCCATGGAGATTCAACTATTGTTGCCGGTTGGAGCAATGCTTGGAGTGATGGAGGGCTAGGGGTTCTTCAACTCTTGAAGATGGTTGATTGGCATGAGTTCCAAGAGCTTCAAAGGGGAGTTAGCTTCATCCATAGTTCTAGTTGTTTATTTATGAATTTCTAGGTCTTAGGATTCGTAAATTGGGGCTGAACTGTTTTGATTATGGTTGTAATCAATTCTGGATGATTATCTTGTGTATTGGATTAGTTAATGTTGAATTTGAGCTTCAATATATGTGGTTACATATATGTTTCTATGCAACTCTTTTGATACTCTCTTTCTTGCATGGTATTGTTTGATTGTTGAGTTAATCTGGGCTTGCATTAAACCAAGTGCATTAATTAATCTTAATACACACACTAAGTAAGCTTAATAGGATCTTATAAGATGGGTGGCCATTGATTAAGATCCTAGACTTGAAGGGTTCTTTAAGGTTTTTCCTTTAGAAAACTTGGTGATTTTTACTCCCCAAAATCATTTTGAGCTATGATTGCCAAAGGTCCATTTTCAAGAGGTTTTATCAACTGTTTCAATACTTGTTTCCCATTCATTCCATCGTAATTTCCCAAAAATCCAAAAATATATTTACATTGCATTTTATCTCAATTAATAGTTTTAATGAAAACCCCCAACTTTACCCTAGTCAATTTGCATTTTCATGGCATTTAGTTAACTTAGGATCAATAGTTAAGGCTCCAACAAGTGAAACGACCCGAGGTTGTGCCTATAGTACAATCCTTGGTTTTAATTTTGAATTTGACCCTAAGGTGTAAGCAAGACAGGTCACATTTCAAGTGGCGCCGTTGCCGGGGAGCCAAGAAATTGGTTCCCTAGGTTAACTTGTGTCAACTCATTGTTGACTAGGGTTAAGAGCCTTTTTAGGTTGCATTTAGGTAGTTTATTTGCATATTTATTTATAATATAGGTTTTTCATTCTGCCTAGCATCAAAATTTTGAGAAATACAAACAAAAATCCTGATTTTCTTACTTTTCATACTTGCATTCTTGCATATAAGTTCATACTTTGCATTTTGCATTGGCTCTCCATTGGTGTATTGATTGGTTTTTCTTGCACCAATTGGTTTCTTGGCTTGGTTGCTGCTGAATAGTTGGTTGTGTTGCTTTAACTTGTGGTTTGATATTTTGTGAATGTGCAATTTTGGTTTTAAATCCATTTAGATGCACACACCATCTCTCCAAGTCACTTATAATTGGTTTTGAAGGTGTTCACATTAGGAAATTGGTTTTGAACTCATTTGCTCAAAGTTGATTTTGACAACTTAAAGTTTTGGAGTGTATAGAGAAAAATTTTGGTTTAATATCTTCAATTTTGTATCCAAGGGTTTTTGCATGAAAAGTATTCATATTCAAGTGTATTTAACTTCTTGGAACTTATTTTGATTGGTTTA